GGAGCTGACAGTTTTCATGGAGCCTTCCAACACTGAGAGCTAGTCCTTAAGATAGAGGCTTCCAGGTCAAATCCAGCTCAATTCTTCCAAGTTCGTTGTCCAAAGTATGTGGTATCTTCAGCAAGAAGGACTTAACCTTCAACTTCTGGAAGGTAACCAAGGGCAATAAGAATACATTTTTTAATCCCATGTCATAAGCACATTGAAAGTCCCATTGTCTGTGCACACACTCCTGCCTTGAATGGTCAGGTGTGCAAAAGCAAGCCTTCCCAACAGCCTGCCACTGAAATCTAATCTGCCTGAAGCTCAGGGCAGAAACAACTGATAAGGCTTCGAAGCGTCCAAAATCCAAGTCTAAAAAGATGCAAATCTGTTCCCACCCAAGTAACAGCAAGAGACTGGAAACCCAAAGAGCAGCAGACTTACGTCAAACACGACTAATAAGACTTGGCTGGCAGTGTGTGCTGCTGATGTTATCCATTCCATTCTGTTTCATTTGTAAAATCTGGTTGTACCTATTAAATTGACTTGGCTGTTGGACACTGTTCAACTGTTTGTGAAACACTATTTGCCCTAGTCTTAGCAGTTAAAAGTCCCCAGTGAGCTGGAGTGATGGCTTAGCAGTTAAGAGCACTTTCTGTTCTCCCAGAAGACCTGATTTCAGATCCCAGTACCCACGTAGGGTGGCTCATAACTGTCTGTAACTCTACCTCCAGAACCTGGGGATCTGACACCTTTTTCTAGCCTCCTGGGATACTCCTACACACATGGCATACACACACACACACACACACACACACACACACACACACACACACACATACACACACATATATACCTAAGTGGGTCAGGAGGTAAAGAGGACCTGGCATGAGTTAGGGGATGAGAACAAATATTATCAAAATATATTGTATAAAAAATGTTAATAATTTTTAATAAATATAGTTAATAAAGTTTTTAAATAAAAATATAAGAAATTGATGTCTGAAAAAAAAAGTTCCCAATGACAAGTTGGGAGATGAAGGAAGAAAGACCTAGATCACTGAGGTGGGACCCCTGATCTTCTTCTGCTACCTTGCTAAACAGTGAGGGACAAGTCACTTGGCCTCATTGTGGCCTGCTTTCCATCTTAAATGAAGTTCTGCCTGCTGCACCTAATTCAAGCGTCTGTTAGACAGATCTTATGACAAAAGATGTGAGAGCATTTGGAAAATATTAAAATACCATTCAACTACAAAGAGGGGGGACCAGCGGAGAAGGAAGGAGAGCAGAAAAGTCAGCTGGTCTCCATGTGTACACTCCTCTAGGGCTCAGCTCCACTACTCGTGGAGCAGACAGAGCCCAGGTAGAGACAGAAAACAGCTAGAGTCATGGCTCCGTCTTCTCAGTCCCAAGACCCAGTGATTGGCCAAGAAAAAAAAGGGGGGGGGAATAAAGGGGTCTCAACAAAGACAGGGAGACAGCACCCTTGAAATCAGTGAAGTCAGCATTACCTTTTTCTTTCTTTCTTTCTTTCTTTCTTTTTTTTTTTTTGGCTCCTGTGTTGTGTTCCGGGCTGGCCTTGAACTCACATTACATCCAGTGATCCTGCCTATATTCCCTGAAGCCCCAGGGCTGGGATTACAGGTGTGCCCCACCGCACCTGACTGATGCAGTGTTGGAGAAAGAACCGGGGGCTTCAGGCATGCTGGGCAAGCACCCTACCAACTGAGCTACACCCCAACCCCAGCATCATCTCATTCACCACATGGCTTTGACCACCCAGCCACCAACAACCAACGGCTCAGAGTTCTATACTCGAAGAAGCACCAGAGAAGTCAATACTACACTCACATTTTCACTTTCATGGGCTCTGCTGCTAAATTTCCTCATTGTGTTGCTTAGGGCTGAGCAGATAGTGTCTTCTTGCAAGAGCTCTCAAAAGCCCACTTGCTCTCTTAGGGAGACTCTTCTCAGCAGATGCAAGAGGGAGCTTGACATGTTCTACATGCTACTTGGCCCACTTCCCGTGTCGATCTCAGAACTTCCCACTGGGTTTAGCAATCCATAATCCATTACCTTAGTTCAATGCACTTTCTGAGAAGTGATTCCCACCATTACCCCTAGCAAAATTTTCCTTCACTCTGGAGAAGTCAAACTTAAATGCCCACAAGGGGCCAGCCATAGTCCATAAATGAAGCCAGAGGGGTCATGTGTACAAATAGACACATCCCTGTGGGGTGCTAGAATGGTCTCCAGCTGGCACATGCCCACCCACTAAAAAAGAGCAGCTACTGTCTACCTCCGGGTTTCCAGATTTTCTAGTGTTCCAAAAGAAGTCTAATATATTATTTTTGTAATTGCATTTTTTATTTGTGTGCATGCCACAGTTCAAGTGCGGAGATCAGGGGATAGCTTGAGGAAATTAATTCCCTCCTTCCACCATGTGATTCCCAGGGATCAGACTCAAGTTGTCAGGGTTGAGAGCAAGTCCCCTTTACCCACTGAGCCGTCTCATAGGCTTGGAAATCTGAGTTTTTTTTTTTTTTTTTTTTTTTTTTTTTTGGTTTTTCGAGACAGGGTTTCTCTGTGTAGCTTTGTGCCTTTCCTGGAACTCACTCTATAGACCAGGCTGGCCTTGGACTCACAAAGATCCGCCTGCCTCTGCCTCCCGAGTGCTGGGATTAAAGGCGTGAGCCACCACCGCCCGGCGGAAATCTGAGTTTTAAGTGTGAAACTACCTGGTTTTCAAATGGTCACTTAATTAAAGTACACTATATATATGTGTGTATATATATATATATTACATATAATAGATATATATAATACATATAAATAGACGGTAACATGTCAAATCCATACTGTAAATATACAAAATTAATAGGCTCTGCTTTCCCATCAAAAAATCATAATTAGGGGCCAATGAGATGATTTAGCAGATAAAAGTACTTGCTGCTGAATACCTACCTGAGTTTGATCCCTGGTACCCACAGGGAAAGAGAGAACTGACTCCAGAAAATTGTTCTCTGTCCTCCATAGGCATGTAAGGACACATGTGCCCACCCACATGTGCGAGCACACACACACACACACACACACACACACACACACACACACACACATTTTAATCAATGAGAGAAATGGTTCAGTTGGTGTCTTAGTGTTTCTATCGCTGTGAAAAGACGCCATGACCACAGCAACTTTTATAAAGGAAAATATTAAACTGGAGCTAGTTTGTGGTTTCAGAGGTTTAGTCCATTATCAATCACAACAAGAAGCATGGCGGTGTGCAGGCAGATATGGTACTGGAGAAGGATCTGAGAGTTCTACATCTCGATCCTCAGGCAACAGGAAGTGAACTATATCCCACACTGGGCATAGCATATATATATAAGCATATATATATATATATATATATATATATATATATATATATATGCTTATATGAGACCCCAAAGCCTGTCTCCACAGTGACACACTTTCTCCAGCGAGGCCTCACCTACTCCAACAAGGCCACACCCCCTAATAGTGCTACTACTCCCTTTGGGCCAAGCATTCAAACACTTGAGTCTATGGGGGTCATACCTATTCAAACCAGCACAGTTGGTAAAGCGAAGGCGTGAGGACCTGAATTCAGAACCCCACTACCCACATAAAAGTCATGAGTTTGCATGCCTATAACATCAGTGCTAGAGGGGGCAGAAACAGGAAAACCCCTAGACCTCATTGACCTCAACAAGTGGTGAGCTACAGGCTCAGTGAGAGGCCTTGTCTCAAGAAACAAGATGAAGATCTGGAGAGATGGCTCCGCAGCTACAAACACTTGTTGCTCTTGGTAAGGGCTGGATTTCAGGTCGAAGCACCCACGTGATGATTCACAATTGTAACTCCAGTCCCAAGGGATCTGATGCCCTCTTCTGACCTCCCTAGGCACCAGGTGTGTTTATGGTGTATATACATGTATGAAAGCAGAACAGTCATACACATTAAAAAGGCGCACGCCTTTAATCCCAGCACTCGGGAGGCAGAGCCAGGCGGATCTCTGTGAGTTCGAGGCCAGCCTGGGCTACCAAGTGAGTTCCAGGAAAGGCGCAAAGCTACACAGAGAAACCCTGTCTCGAAAAACCAAAAAAAAAAAAAAAAAAAAAAAGAAACAAGAGATGTGAAAAAGAAACAGGATGAAGAAGCTAGGCTCGGTGCCATACACCTTTAATTCCAGCGCCCAGGAGAGAGAAGCAAATGAGTATCTGTGATTTCAAGCCTAGCTCGGTCTGTATTACAAGTTACTGGCCAGCCAGGGCTGCATAGGGAGACTCCGTCTCCAAATAAACTAATAAGATGAAGGGAGATGGAGGAAGACACTTAACATCAACCTCTGGCCTCCACATACACACATGCACACACACACACACACACACACACACACACACACACACACACACACACGCACATACATATACATGAACATAAACACACACCACTACAAAATCAAAGCTAAGTGATCTTTATTATGTTATTTCATTAGCTTGTTGCAGCCACATCCACCCAACGTGTCTTCAATCTTTCATACTCCCTTAGCCCTGGTCATCTAAAAAGCAGAAACTGAGATACAGTGCCTGGACTTTAAAATTTAGAAAAGACTGATCTCAAAGAAGGAAGGATAGGCAGTCATCAGTCCTCTGCCTCACAAAAAGCCACAGAGAGACACAGCAGGTCACCAGGCAGGTAGATTTGCTGAAGGAAGAACGTGGATCATGAGCAGAACATGGGGATGGGGAAAGAATGGGCTACTCTACCAGTTCTGGGCCAGTGACAGCGTTCAGCACGCTGTGACAAAATGTGGACACAGTTTTGTTGATGATGTTTTGATCTGTTCTGTTTTGTTCTTCTTTCAACTCACCCTGGATCTGGGCAAAGCAAGCCTGTCTCTCCACTAGTCAACATTCACTCCGCAGTGTGAATTTTGTATGAACTTACAGATGCCATGTGCCATACCTGTAATGGTATTTGTGTTCACTCAGGTCTGGAAGCAGCATTAACAAGAAACTCCAAGCATGGGAATGGTTAGCCCAGCTGCATGACAGAAAAGGATGGGGCCTGACCCTCCCAGGATCAGTGGCTGTTGGACCTGAGTACTGGCAAAATATAATCCAGAAGGTGGTTTGGAGCCTTCAGAAGAATATGCAGTTCAGGGAGTCTAAGGTCGGACAGACAGACAGCCTGTGTGGATGCAAGAGGACATCCCTAAAGAATGGCTATTTCAAAAGCTAGTAAGGTAAGTTGAAGACAGACAGACAGACAGACAAAGAGAACAAATTCTATCATAAATGAGAGATGTCAGTATAGATCCTACAGACACTAGAAAAATAACAAGGAAGTATCAGGAGCATCTTTATGTAATAAGTACAACAGAAACAGTAGACAAGTTCTATGGGGAAAAAAAAAAACTACTCCGCTGACACAGTCTGAGACTTTGGAGCAAATTTGTAACTGCGTTTACAAACTGAAGAAATGAAATTTACAGCCCGCTTTCCCACTTCCTATGTACCCTTCAAATTTTAAATTGTAAATTCACAAGGTCACTCGACTCAAAATCAAATAGCCAAGTTCTAAAAGCTAGGACCTCAGCAGAGACTCAAATGTTAGGCTGTCTGGCAGGTTTGGGTTGGTTGGATTTACTTAGCATTTTCTTTCTTTCTTTTTCTTTTCTTTTCTTTTTTTGTTTGTTTGCTTGGTTGGTTTGGTTTGGTTTGGTTTGGTTTGGTTTTAGTTTTCAGTTTTTGGAGACAGGGTTTCTCTGTGTAGTCCTGGCTGTCCTGGAACTTACCCTGTAGACCAGGCTGGCCTCAAACTCAAAGATCTGCCTGCCTCTGCCTCCTGGGTGCTGGGATTAAAGACATGCACCATCACTGCCCACTTTACTTTTCATTTTCAACCGTGTATGTGTGTGCACACATGAGGGTGGCGGGGGGGGGGGGGGGTGTCAGAATACAACCTCAGTCCGTGCCTTCCACTTTGAGATGGGACCTTTTGTTGTTGTTATTCTCTGCTGCATATGCCAGGCTACCTAGCCCGTGGGTTTCTGGGTATTCTTCTACCTCTGCCTCCTATTTCCCCGTGAACCATATCTAGATTTTATGTGGCCTCTGAGGATTCAAACGTAGGTCTTCACATTTATACAGGAAGTACTTTGCCCATGAGCCATCTCCCAGCCTTTGTTTGGGAGTTTTGTTTTTTTGGTTTTTTTTTGTTTGTTTGTTTGTTTTTGTTTTTCGAGACAGGGTTTCTCTGTGTAGCTTTGCGCCTTTCCTGGGACTCACTTGGTAGCCCAGGCTGGCCTCGAACTCACAGAGATCCGCCTGGCTCTGCCTCCCGAGTGCTGGGATTAAAGGCGTGCGCCACCACCGCCCGGCTTGTTTGGGAGTTTTTGAAACAAGGTCTCATATGGTCTGGGCTAACCTCAGACTTACTGGTTTGCTGAAGCTGGCCCTAAACTTCTGATCCTTCTGCTTCACAAGCTTAATAGCCACAGAGAAATAGGGCTAACAACACCAGTGAAGGGAGCTGAGTGTGTAGACAAATCTGGAGAAGAATCCCAAAGTAACGCAGAGATACCCCAGTACTCCAGAAAGCTTATTCAGAAAAATATCATGAAGACAGCAGGTTGTCAGGTCTCTGGCATGAGAGAGAGCAAACCCACATAGCTACAGAGTCAGAGACCAGCTAAGACAACACATTTGGGCTTGGTAAACAGCCAACAACCACTGTGTAGCTGTGTGACTCCAAGCACTGTCGGGAACTCCGTAGGCTCTGGATTGCTATTTGAAATTCCCCAATGTTTAAATGTTGGCTGAAAAAAGGAAATACTGTGTGGGCCAACTAAAACACACCAGCAAGCCAGATACAGCGGCAACCGACCACTCTGCGACCTTTACTTCATAGTGTTTTACTTCTAAGAGGTGGGTGTGGAGGAGGAAAGCTAGGGGGAATTTTTGTTTGTTTGTTTGGGGTATTATTGTTACTATTATTATTATTATTATTATTATTATTATTATTATTATTATCCTTTTTCTGTTTTGAGAGCCTGAATGCTAAACTTCTGGAAATCGTTTTATTTTCCATGACCCCTGGGGTACCAGGACTTCAAAGCAAAGGAAAGCAGCCACCATCAACTTTCTCCCGCCCATCCCCCTCCTCTGGGATCCAGTTGATAAAGAGCTAGATCCTAAGATTTGAGGAGCTGGGATTCTCCCCTCTTCTAGCTGCTGCCTATACAGTGTCCGGCCTTCAACTTTCAAAGCTCAGAGGTGATCACTGTTTCCATAGGGCAGAATTGACAGGGAAGTAGGAAAGATATGGACTGGGATTTTTCACTTTACTGTGGTAAGATGTATCCTGGGTCAAGAAACCAAGGTGGAAAGAAAATGTGCCAGAGGTTCCTGAAAGAAAGCAGATTCATTTCAACCTCCCAAGCCAGGCACTTGGGGTCCTGTCATCTTCCGAGTTTGGCTGTCACAGCCACTGTCCAAGCTCCAGGGACCCAACCAACCTCATTCCCAAAGAAATACTTCAAAGGAACATGGACGAGACACCTTGGAGAAAGCCTAGTCCTAATGATCCACATCCCTTTCCCAGAAGCCAGAGAATGGCCACAGTGTCACCGTAGGCTGGGTGAGTGCACGCGAGCTTGGAAGACAAGATAGGTTCCCGAGGAGGTAGAAGCAGAAGTCAGCCACATGCCCTAGATGTCAAGGAGTGGGTCAAGAAGAGGGTGAGAGCGCTCCATGGAGCCCCTCAGATAAAGCTGGTGCTGGGAAATTTTTCTCCCTTCTACTCTCTCCAGGCACTTGGATTGGGGTCGGCTGAACTCCCTGCCCTGTGCCCTGAGCCATCCAAGCCCCAACTGCCCATCCTCTGTGCATCCCTAGCCAGGGGGTTGAAGCCACAATTTCCAGCAATAATAGCTGACTGCAAAAGTGTCTCTTTTCTGTCTGGCTCAAACAGAAGGCAGAGAGTTTTCAAGGCAGGCCCCTGCTTTCCAGGTCCCCCGTCATGCAGTCCACTTCAAGTTCCTTGTCAATCGAGGGAGAAGTGACCAACAAAGGACACAGCAAACCACCGCCAGCTGTGCATCCAGACCGGTGTGGGGACTTCTTAGGAAAGGCTGGGAGGGAGTTAATCGGCTTCTTCAGAAAAACTTTGGAACAGTGGGGCGGAGCCCCACATACTGAGAAAGGAAAGAACAAACCCCACCTCCCCCAGCTCCTGCCCATCCATCATCTCCAAGTCTCCAGGAGTTCTGCACACATACACGCCCCCCCAGCACTGGAGTCTTTGTTCCTGGAAGTGTCTGCCTTCACAAAGTAAGAGAACATTCAGAAACAGACCCACCTTCTCTTCTGCCGCTGTGGCTCAGGTGAAGACTTGCCTAAGCATGCATGTGGACCCCATCCCCCAACACCGCAGGGAAGGGGTAGGGTTAAAAGAAGGGAGAAAGGAGAGGGGAGGGGAGGAGGAGGAAGAAGCCATTCCCTTTCTGGTGACTACTGAAGCTGATTTCCGATCTGTTACTGCCACAAACGGTGCTGCAAAGACCCACTCGCGATATGAACCACTTCCCCACAGCACAATGAACTCCCAGCAACGGAACTGCTAGGCACTTGTATTGCATTTGCCATTTAATCGATGTTTACTACATTGACTACTAAGTTGTCACAACTTATCTGCACTCTGTTGGGCTATTTTATGCAACTTAAAAAAATAATAATAATTGAGGCCAAGCACTTTATAAAGAAAAGAACCGTGTGTAGCTTGTGACCCTGGTGGCTGGAGGGTCTGAACAGCATAGTACTGGCCTCACATGCTCTCTGTGGGAGTGTTTACTGGAAGAGATGGCATGACATGTGGGAAGGACAGACAGTGGGGACACACCAGTCTAATCACCCCTTTTTTAAAAATTACCACGTGTGGGGGTTGGAGGATGCCCCAGCACCCATGTAGAGGTCAGAGGACAGCTCTGCGCTCCTCCCATCTGGAACGTGGGTTCCAGAGACGGAACTAGGGTCATCAGGCTTGTGTGCAGAGGCCCAGCTGCTCGTGGTCCTGCCACAGCTACAGCTGAGTCCCAGCATACCCTGTGTGGCCACTCTGCTGGGGGACAGCTCGTTTGTCCACACCGGAAGAAGGAACAGAAGTAGCCCGGCCGATGAAACATGGGAGTCAGTGACAAAGACTGGGGTGCCTACGAAGAGGGACTCTGTAGAGTGCTGGACACGGACCTCCTGGAGTCTTCAGGGCTCCAGCCTCCCGGAGTCCCAAGCAAGGGCCAGTTCACTGAGCCCTGTCCACTGGCTCCCTTCCCTTCTCTTCCCTTCTGCCTGCCTCCTCCCTGCCCATCCATGCTTCCTGGGATTGTCAACCAAATCATCCGATTGCATTCAAATGCTAGCCTAGGGTCTGCAGCCTAAGACAGCTGTTATTACTGCTATTTATTACGGGAAAGCGTGCAAGATCCCCCAAGAAGAGCAAATGAGAGTCAAGCAGTGTTCAGACATAGAGGCCGGTAGGTGGACACTGTGCCGGCCAGACCAGTGGCTCTCAAGTTGCAAAGCAGCGTGTTTGTTGGTGGTGTCGGCTTGGTTTGGTTTTGTGTGTATGAGGACCTGTATGGGACATATGTGTGTAGACATGCACACGGGGAGATTGGGAGGGTGAAGGCCAGAACCTGTCATCAAGTGTCTTCCTCAGTTTCTCTCCACCTTTTTTTTTTCCAAGACAGGTTTCTCTGTGCCTTTTTTTTTTTTTTTAATATTTGTAAAATTGTTTAATTCTTACAATGCAATGGTGGTGCACACCTTTAAACCCAGCACTCAGGAGGCAGAGGCAGGCAGATCTCTGTGAGTCCGAGACCAGCCTGGTCTACAGAGCAAGTTCCAGGACAGCCAGGGCTACACAGAGAATCCCTGTTTCAAAAAACAAACAAACAAAACTGTTTAGTTCTGCCTCAAATACTGTCAGTTTTTTTAAAATGTTTTTAATTGAAATAGAATTATATCGGCCGGGCAGTGGTGGCACATGCCTTTAATCCCAGCACTCACACTCAGGAGGCAGAGGCAGGCGAATCTCTGTGAGTTCGAGGCCAGCCTGGGCTACAGAGTGAGTTCCAAGAAAGGCGCAAAGCTACACAGAGAAACCCTGTCTCCAAAAACAAAAACAAAAAAATTAATAAAAATAATAAAAAGAAAAAAATAAAAAGAAATAGAATTATATCATCTTCCCCCGATTTCCTTCATCCAGCCCCTCCTGGTTATCCTTCCTCAAACCCCTCCCATGTCTCAACTCAACTATCAGGTTGATGGCCTCTTTTCTTTGATGATGATGATGATCATTGTTTCACAACACACACACACACACACACACACACACACACACACACACACACACACACACACAGGCAGTGTTAGCCCTAAAGTCACATACACATCAACGAAAATGGATTCAGCAGGTTGTACTTTTATATTTGTGCATACGCATACAAACATTCTTCTTATTTTTTGTTGTTGATGTTGTTGCTGTTGTTTTGGGATCTTAGGTTTTGTTTGTTTGGGGTCTTTTGGTTTCTTTTTTTGCTTTTTGTTGTTGTTGAGATAAGGTTTCTCTGTGT